GAGACTTTTTTTTGCCTCTTCTTCTCTCACTGATGTCACGTTTCTGTGACGTAACCGTCAGCCGGTTGGGTTTCCGGTTAGACTCCACCGTCCAGATGCAGCACCTTGACAATTAGCATACGTTCCATTCATCGAGCAAACAGGCAAATGCTAGCAAAGGTAACATTTAACAATTTACCATCTGAGTGACAGCAGTTTTATTTAAAGAGTTTTCTACAAGTTATCTGTTGTTGGGCACAGAGAAGTTGCTTATTAGCCTCAAACAAGGAGAAAGTAAATTTAAGCTAACTCGAAAACATTACTTTGCAAACGACACGTTGGAGTGGCAAACTGTTTTCTAGGCATTAAGGCGAACGTTTTGAGTCAATATAATAGATTTCGGTTTCTACGCCCCGTTCTAAGTGTTTACTTTCTAGTAAAAATGCCCCGAAGGCTCTGTTGACCAGCTAATGTGGGCGGCGTTAGCTTTAGCAGAGAGAGAGCGTTGCTTTGGGGGAGTCAGCTGACAGCCTTCTGCTGCCAACAGCCCAGTGATGGATCAACTCAAAGTGAAGGACCGCATATTGGAAAACATCTCGCTGTCTGTCAAGAAGGTAAGCTCAAACCAACCGGAATACAGTGTTTTAACATCTTTATTGTAGCGACATGTTTTCCCCCTCATGCTTGAGTCATTGTAGCTAATATTAGGTCATCTTCTGTTTGCTAAAGAGGTTAACTTTGAAGCTGGAAGGACATTAGCAGCTCACAGGGGCCTTGCCCTAAAGGGAATCACTTTACAAAATGAGTCTCAGCCCTTTTGAACCCTCTGTGTGCATGGTGCATACAGCTAAAACTCTCGGTAAAACGTGGTTAGTTATGTTTTGATCACTGTGTACAGCTGTGGCACTAACCCTACGTGTGCATTGCACACTGCGGCAGTGAACAGTGTAAACAAAGCTGCAGTCACACTACAGAGGACTCAGCAACACAGGGATGAGCTGCTCCTCCACATTCCTGTTTATGCACCTAAATTTACTATAAATACCTATTTATGAATAGATCCATGAATGCATCATTTCAGTACCGACATTTATTCTTTTCCTCATCCTCTTTTTGCAGAGTTTTGGAGCTGTTTAAAAACTGCACACATTAGTGCTTTTATTTTCTAAGGATAATCTGATTGTATTTCTGCAGTGTTGTTGATTAATGATCTCAGGGTGGTGTGGAAGCTCTCTGTATGTTAATGCAACCAGATAAGCTTTATGTGACGACCACCTAAACCCACTGGAGGAGCAGATAATGCAGTCAAATCTTAGTTTATTTGCTCTTTAATTACCCGCCATGCCTCTCGTCAAATTGGTTTGTACAAACTGCTGCAGCTCAGGCTTTCAAGTAAGTGTATAGCTTTTTTTCTCTGTGCATATTACTTGGTCATATGACTGTGACCTCCTCTGCATTCAGAACTTTAAAGGTTCATTTGTTTTGCAGACATCCCATGGTACTTTCCCTTGTTAAAGTATTTCAACTCCCAGAGGATTTACAGATTGAAATCACAGATGTCTGTGTTGGTGTCTGTGCATTTTACTATCAAGCAGTGCGTTCTTGTGTAGTGGCATGTTCCTACCAGCTTTGCACATCTTAAGGCCAATCTTCTTTGAGAAATAGCTAACATTCACTCAGATTGAAAAGAGATTATTCAACAACAGGCAAGCCTTCTCACAGATTCTTGGTTAAATTTAGCTCTGGACTTTGACAGAGCCGATCAAATGCAGTAATATGCTTTGATCTGAAGTGTTTCTGTGCACCAGTGGCTGTATGTTTAAGGTCATTCTCCTGCTGGTAGATAAACGCCCCTCTCAAGTGTGTTTCAGGGTTTTCTTGTGTTTAGCTGCATCCATCGTCCAACAAAGTCCAGTCAACTGCTCCCTGCTTGTTCAAGAAAAACACAATTACAGCATGATGCAGCCTCCACCATGTTTCATGCTGTTATTCTATGCTGCCTTTCTACTGAATTTGTTATTTTGATCAATTAAATTTTGGACTAATTTCACTAGAAAAGTTTTCTCCTTTAGCTTTTTATTCAATAGAAGCATTCTTCCTTTCTCCATTTCCTCCACAGTAAATTTGTTGTTTGCACAGCTGATAGCTGTCCTGTTACGGTATATGAAGAGTTTTTGAAGGAGTTTAATGTTAGGTTTTAAACCTGACCGTAGCACAATAAGCATCACTGAACCAATCGTTAACTTGAACATGTATCTGCTCAGACATTTCAATGCCTGTGTTTGTATCTATCATTTGAAGTGGGTTTAATCTTTGCTCTCTGTGGGAATAAAAAAACTTTAACCTTCAGCTGGCTTAAATCTACAAACACAAACAATATTTTTTTTTTTTTGTGCCATTTTCATCGCAGAGCTTAATCAGGTTTGTTTTTCTTCAGTTACTGCTTTGTTGGTGGTTTTGAAATGTCTTTGGATATCAGCAGTTCAGAGACTATTCCTCTGCTTAGGATTAGTGTTGGTTTAGTCACTGTTGGTTAACTGTCTGGCTACACAAAAGAGATGCTCCATACAGATTTAAACATCTTTAAACAGTGATTTCACAAAGGACATCTACAGAGACAGTCTGCTGTTGAACTACTGCAATGACATTTGCTACAGATTAAGATTGAGATTTGCATTACATTACGGCTCCAAATGTTTTCTTAAATGCTTTCATCATGTCTCTGTAAGAGCTATCTGAACAGCATATTTCTCTCTGCAGTTACAGAGTTACTTTGCAGCCTGTGAGGATGAAACTCCAGCTATCAGAAATCACGACCGGGTCCTTCAGCGTCTTTGTGAACATCTCGACCATGCTCTGCTGTATGGGTAAGAGCTTTACTGCAGATTGACCACTGCTGATCTTTGAAAATTAAAGTAGCATAACTTCTTCCAAGTTCTTCCAATTTGTTTGTTTGGGATAGATGGTTTTACATCTGTAGGAGGGTCACATTCCTTTAGCACAGTCTCTCTTCTCTTTCAATTTAATTTTGGTCACCGAGCAATTAGAAAGATCATGTTGTTGATAGAAAACACATTTTCCAAACTCTGCTTTACAAGTATGCTAGAAATAGCTGTAACACCATGAGCTTGTTGTAAAGTCAACACATCCTCTGAATGTTAGAAAGCTGACAAGCTATTTAGTCATACACTTCGTCAATCCACCTCATCAACGGTTTGTAGGATAACGGTTCAAACGATAAAACTAAGAGAACTGACAAATTCAGTTGATCAGGTTTGTTTTCAAACAGAGGGTTTTCAACACAGTTAAATAGGATTGTTTTAGGAGCAGCATTGATACAGTATCGAGCTGGTCCAGAGGGAAAACCAAGTGCAAAGAAGAAAGTCTGCCTCATGGGGTGTCTGTTCTAACTTTTGTGTCGGTCTGAATATTTCTATAGTACTCCACAAAGCCCCAAAAGACATTTCAGGCTATTTGTTCTTCAGTTTGAGCTTCCAATTCATTTGTCCTCTTCTTCTACTAAAATGTGTTCTCCCTCTCTTTCTGCCTTTGGTGCATTTGATCCGAACCCGTATTCACGATGCAAGTTGCCTGCTCCATGTTAAGGGAGAGCACTACTAGTGTTCTGTTATAGTGTTGTCAAACTTTCCAATAGTTATCAACTAAAACAGACAGTTTAGATTTAGAGTAGCTTGTTAGCTTCCATCACTCTGAGGAATAATTTGCTGTTCAAGAATCTTACTGTGATACATTTTACAATAGAATAGAACGGAATAGAAAAATCCCTTTGTTGTTCCACAATGGGGAAATTGTGGCGTTACAGCAGCAGCAAAAGTGGTCACACAATGTGGACCTTAGAAAAGTGTATAAAAATAGCAGAATAAATGACAGATTAAAGAAAATAAACAAATAAAATACTGTACTGTACAGTACAGTGATTTTACAATATAAGTACTTAATATCTGGAGAATTAATAATCAATTTACAGTAGAGGATATAGGAAAAAATGGCAGCAACACCAGAGATATGCAAAAAAATAAACAACAGCAGCATGTTATTTAACTGACTAAGGTAGAAACTGTGCAAAATCAGCATGAATGTAACAAATTATTGAGGTTGTTGGGAACAGTGGTGGTTATAAAGTCTTACAGCTGCTGGGAGGAAGGATCTGTGATAACGCTCCTTGGGGTATATAGGGTGCAGCAGTCTGTCATTGAAGGAGCTCTTTAGTAAAGCAACAGCTTCATGCATGGGGTGGGAGACATTATCCAACAGAGATGTTATTTTAGTTAAGATCCTTTCTTAATAATAGTAACTTGATCTCTCTTTAAAAAGAAAAAAAAAATCCAAACTGAGTAATGCTTTGTTCAGACTGCATGCAGCAGAAGCAGCAAAAACACGCCTTGATGCACGTCAACCATTGACTTTGCATCTGCTTCTGCAGCATTGGGTCTGAACGTAGTATAAGGCTTACAGATGAACCGTTCAAACATAATGAAGGTTCCTTGTTACTTTGATATGCTAGGTTTCTGCCCGTTGAACAATTTGTCAAGAAGATGGGCTGTTAGCCAAACAGACAAGAGATAAGAATGCTGCATCATTCTGAATCTGTATTTTAGCTTTTTATTCAGACACTGTTTAGTAAAAAAAAAATGCTTGTTCCTGATCTTTGGTCCAATTAGATCAACCAACTTAAAGACAAACAGCACTCAATGGCACCCAGGATATGACAAACTTTTAAACTATTTCATGCCAACTAAAGCAATGTACTATGTTTTTTGTAGATGTGACAAGAATAATTAATTTGTCTGAAATGTAGCTGTAGCACAGAGAGATGATGGCTAAACAAGGTTCTGATCTTCTCAGGTTAATTTCAGTACAGGTATAAACGCTGAATGTTTATGGCATGGTTTGAATTCCATTTTAAACTTCCAGTCATGTATAGCACCTTCTTGGCATGTATAACCCTTTTGAACCGGATTGTGTTGTTATTTTTAGGCTGCAGGACATCTCATCAGGCTACTGGGTCTTAGTGGTTCACTTCACCAGGAGGGAGGCCGTCCGACAGATAGATGAGCTTCAGCACATCGCCACCAACCTGGGCCGAAGTAAGCCTTACTTACTGCACAGGAAATTGTGTTGAACTAAAAGGAAGTTTCATTTATTAAACTTTGTGATACAGCAAACAAAGAGCCTTTATCTGTCCTGTGTAGGTCGGGCCTGGTTGTACCTGGCATTGAGTGAGAGCTCTTTGGAAAGCTATCTGCGCCTCTTCCAGGAGAATCAAGGACTGCTACAGAAGTATTATTTCAAGTAAGATCAGATTTGTTGTATTCATTTAAAAATCTGTGTTCCTTCTGTTAGCATATACTACTTGGAATTAGGGCTGAACAATTTTGCCAAAAATCGTGTTATTTTCAACCAATATGGCAATTTAATTGTAATTTTCCTTTGAACTAAGCACAAATATGTAGATAGTTTCAGTTTTTTTCAGGACTTAAAAAGCTTACTTGTTCATAGTCTATTGTTGTTAATGCTATAATGCATGGATCTTCGTGCTAGCTGCACGAAGATCTGCTGTCTCTCTTCCGTTCTGTGTGGCTGAAAGCCCACTTTAAGTGTATTACTGCCACCTAAAGGGCTGGAGGGAGAAATTTAGTGCCTTAGCCTCTGGGATTTAAAAATTTTATTTTTTCTAAGTCCAACCCTATTTGGACTTTAAAATATTAGTTTATGTATAAGAAGAATGAAATGAAATGCCCTTATTAACCACGGTTATTGTCTTTGACTTGTAGGAATGCACTAGTGTGCAGTCATGACCACCTCACGCTCTTTCTTACGCTGGTGTCCGGCCTGGAGTTCATTCGCTTCGACCTGGAGCTGGTCAGTAGCATCAAAGTATTATCTCAGACATCTGTGACCTTTAGTGTCCCTAACATGACTAATGTCTGTCGCTGGTTTAGGATGTTCCCTATCTGGATGTGGCTCCATATATGCCTGAATACTACAAACCACACAACCTGCTGGACTTTGAGGAAAGGCTCCCCAGCTCGGACAGCTTGTCTCTGCACTCCTTCACCTCCCTGACCTCCACTAACCTGGAGTGGGATGACAGTGCCATAGCTCCCTCCAGTGAAGGTAGAGCATGCTGGTTTTTCTCTGACCATCCTATCCCTGATTTGGTCCATACACATCACCCATAATTGAGTCGATTAACATTTACTGATAAATACAAACTGGTTTTCAGTTTCTTTCTTCCCTTTTCCTGTTAAATGTTTCACCTTTAAGTATCTGCTGGGAATTTGTCTTGTAATATATTTAATTGTCATTATATTCTGCCTTGCCTTTTGGGTTTCTGGTTTATTCATTGCCTTTTTTTAGTTTAATGCAAATTTCTAGGCTTCATCTCCAATTTATGCAAACCTCTCATGTCACAGATTAATGAAATGCTTATATTTCAAGTCTTTGTAGCACTTGTACCGGTATTATAAAATATATTTGCACATAAGCAGTCAAAAGAAAAAAATTAGGACACCCCATGAACTGTTGAGCTCTTAAATGGACAAGTTTGCGTCTCACTTTGCTGTTCATATCTAAGTAGAAAGGTGGTGCGATTACACCTAAAAAAAAAAAAAAAGAAAAACATGTTTTGTATTATTCTTTAACTAAAAGCTTTCAAATAATGTTTTTTTTTTCCTCAAAGACAAACAAGTTAGCCCACCACGGGGGATTGGGGCCGTTTCATTGATTTCCACTCATTTCTACAACGTAACAGTGACCCTAACTGTTACGGTGTGTACCTAATCCCAACCCAAACTTAATTCACACCTTAGTCTGGACCAAAAACAACAAATCCCCCTGTGGAGTCCGTGCATCGGTCCCCACAGCGTGCTATGTTTCCAAAAAAATGGTTCCCACAATGTATTAAAAACAAGAACACATTCCCCCTACATGCACAACTTTTTATCATCTATGTGTGGCCAACTGGAAAGCTCCTGCTGCAGCAACGCATGGTGCGTTATTGGTGCCAAAAGTGGAGATTATTGGTCACCTTGTTCTTCTGACCTCCTTGGCGCAGGAGGCTATATTCATACCAACGCTAGCTCTGATTACTGATACAGTGGCACTGTTAACTGAGCCGCCGGTGCTGCCAAATAAGATGGTGGAGCTAATAATTTTGAAGGAGAGAAGTACAATGCAATAGCATTGGATAGCATGTATCGACCAGTCATTTACTATAATAAAACAGGAAGCTAAATTGGCTTATGGTTGCAGCTTTATTTTCTTAAAGTTTCACAAATGGAAAAAAGGTTTAACAAATACCAAACTGGGTTTAAGACATTCTCCTATTTGTCTAGTAATATAATCCAGGTTATTTGTGCTGTGATATTTGAACTAGAGCAGAGCAGCGAAGTCGTGGCATAGCCCTTTAGGCATTTCCCAATTTGAAAGCAGAAATCCTTAGCTGACTAGTTACGTTTTGAGGGTCTTTTCTATTGGATGACCAGCCAAAACATGCAACCAATGCTAATGCCAGCCCATCTGTGCTAATGGACAGCAGAGGAAGTAGGTAATTCAGTGAGTGAGCAGCTTAGGTATGCTGGTCACCAGCCTCTCCAATGCTAATGCAGGTGAGTGAGTCCCTCTGTCATTAGCTCTGGCCTCTCATTTTCCAATGCCGGTTGCTCAGTTACCAAAACAAGTTTAGCATTAATCAGATCATTAGCTGGCATTGAAATGGATATATCGTCCTGCATAAATGACCTAGGTACTACTGGGTGTGCAATACTTTCCATTTTTAAACCAGTACTTTGCCATATTCTTAAGCCATGACTCTTCCACCTCTGTGCTTAGCAGTCGGTACAGGCTGCTGTTAGTCCATGTTCTCTGTGACAAACTTTCCTCTAGCCTTCATGTTTTTCATGGAGAGCAAATGTTTCATATCTTGAAAGAAAGGGAGACTTTTCCATCTCAAGGTTTATACATGTACTTCCATATCAACAGTAGCAGCAGTTTGCAATGGGTCTCTTAACCCTTTTTAGCGCTCTCAGTGAAATACTTTGAAAGTCAAAATTGTTATTGGAATCCAGGAAAAGACCTTATTACCTTTGTAACATTTATAGAATATGTATATTATGTTGGCAAAAATTAAGGTCAATATAATAACAAGAAACATCCACTTGCACTAATATATTAAGGAAAATAACAAATGCTTCTGTAAGAGATTCATGAAAAACACTGTGAGTGAAAGAAACACATTTATTTTGTTACATCATAGCGTTAGAGCAGGGATGGGCAATTCCAGTTCCTGAGGGCCGGTATCATTTAGAATCATTCTTGGTCCAGCAGTCCTGAATCAAATGGCTGAATTACCTCCTCAATATGCAGTCAGTTCCTCCAGAGTCCTCTCAATCATCTAATTACAGGATTCAGGTGTGTTGAACCAATGGTACATCTAAAAGTTGCAGGATACCGGCCCCCAGGAACTGGAATTGCCCACACCTGCCCTAGAGGCATAAATGCTGATATAGGCACTTACATTTTTTACTTTTTTTAAACTTTGTTTTTTAACTTTTAAATTTGGCTTTTTACCCTATTTTCTTAACTTATTTTTTTTATTTAACTTAATTTATCATTCAAGGGCTCATCTAATTGGTCAAATGCCACATAGCAGTATCTGCTGAATGGCTCGATATAAATCTTGTGCTTCCAGACCTCACTGAGGGATGGGGGTGCCCTATAAAGCATTAATGATATTTCAGGATTTATACTGCTTTGTTTTCTTGTTTTTGGCTACCTTGGATATTAGGGATCCTCCACTTGTTAGCTATTATATTTTAACAAACTTATCCAATGTTTTTAGAAGTCTCTTTAAACAGCTGCAGAGTGCCTCAAAAGACAGCATCACATAAAACTAACGTATCTGGGGCTTAAACAGGGCAAACATCAAACAGCTGAGTAAGAACCTTCTAATCATGTGCAGCAAATGTGACTCCGGTGTGATTTTTTTAGTCACTTCTAGTTAAAATTAATGTGGTTTCTATATATTCCTCATCAGAAATGCATTTTAAATAGATTTTATAGGCATTTTAAAAGAACCATTTGTTTTCCTGGGAATTTATATATTAAAAAATTCTCGATTAAAATTGGTGCTAAATATCCATCCATAAAGACGTGTTTTAACAACATACAGGTTATCATGGGTTGTCCTAATATGTTTTTTGCCGTATTTTTATTTTATTTACACACTACAAAGCCTAGAACAGGGGTCTCTGACTGTGGTCCTCAAGATCTACTGTTCTGCAGGTTTTAGATGCTTCCCTGCTCCAACCCAGCTGTATCAAATGAATGATTTATTCTCAGACCTTTGCAAACTTGATTGCATGTTGAAGGGGTTATTCAGTCATTTGAATAAGCTGTTGGAGCAGAGATACAGCTAAAATCTGCAGTACAGTAGATCTTGAGGACAAGGGTTGGAGACCTCTGGTCTCGAAGAATACCTTCCTTTGGGTAATTGCAGCAATCAGTCACAGTTTTCCCCATCAGTCACCACACCAAACCAGTTCTCTGTTTTAGTTCCCACTTCTCTGTTTTTACCTTCATTGATTCTGTTGTTTCACATTCCATGTATCATGTTGTTTTTCTGCCATTGATTCGGTCTCTTTTTTTTTTTTCCTTCCTGAAACCTTCTAATTTTCTATGTTATCCATCCTTTTCTTTTTCTTTTTTAGATTATGATTTTGGTGACATGTTCCCCGTGTTGCAGTCACTGCCAAGTGTAGACTGGGAAGGTGGGACAATGGTCAACCCTTCCTTTCTACCTATTCAGTCCATGTTTTCTCTCCCTCCTTTATAGCATGAATTTGTGCACAATTCAGGGGTGAAATGCATGCTGGGTGCCTCGACTGTAAAACAGCTTACTAATGCAAATGATGTCTGAATATGAAAAAAAAATATTAAGTAAATGTAAAGAATAAAGGTTGGTTTGGAGAAATAGCAGTTTGTAGCTTGATATTAACAGTAATATATCTGGTGTGCTGTTTTTTTTCTTCATTACAATCAGTTATAAAGTGGCCACTAGCAAATGGTACATTTATTTTGTAAATAAAAATCATGATTTCATTGCATACAGATTGAACATTTAAAATCACGAACATTTAAATAATGATGCTCTAAAACCTTATCTTTAAAACAGAAAGACAAAATGCAAATTTTTTTGTACGTTTTGATTTTTTTTTTCAGTTATATTTATACCTTTTCTACATTATTTTGATTATGAAACAGGAACCAATCAATGCTACAGAATTAACATCTGCTTAAGTTAGTAGTTATGTTTCAATCACTTTTTATTAAATGATGTTTTCCTTTTAAGTCATTCTGCTATTTAGTGAAGAAGATAAGCCACTAACCATTAGATTGTAAATTAGGAAGGTGAAATGCACAGGTGGTCGGTTCTAGTCTTTGTTGCTTGGTCATACTGCTAGCAGCTTCCCAACCAGTGCTCCAAACCAGCATTACCTTGAAAGGAGAGATAGGGGGCGCTCCATCAGTTTCTGAAGTTCTTAACTCTTCTTTATTCAGTCCAAAGATGCCTGAGCCCAAGT